AACCATGGTTATTTATTTAAACTTTTCTTGCATGAATTAAAGCGGTAAAAAAAATTATTTTCAAAAATTAAATCCTACCCCCCTCCCCCTCCCGATTGATTGTTATCCAGACCTGGAGCGAGACCGTAGTGCCGCCTCTGATTTTAGATAAATATTTAATATCAAATTCTAACAAACTAAACAATTATTAATTATTAATACTAATAATAGACGTTTTTACAGCTGCTTATAATAAAAATTGTCAAAGGAAAAGAAATAAAATGATTTTTACAAATATTTACAATATGTGAAGTAACATGTGATAATTTAAACAGTGTAAATTTAAACAGATTATATTACGACTATATATTGTACTACAAGAATTCGTGATTTTTATCAGGTATATGATTGTTAAATAAACAAAATTTTATTATTTTTATTTATAAAATATTTTTTAAGGATTAATAGTGCTTAACATAGATTCAAGCACAGGATGCATATTGTTTCTACGTTGAACCTTCAACCAAAATCCATTTTCCGGCATCATTACACCTTTCTTGCTGAATTTCAATGGCAACGTAGTTTTCGCACAAGGCTTCAGCTCACATCGTGCTAGTAAATGAAACAACAAGACTTTCATCTCTAACGTAGCAAATCTGTTGGCTATACACATCCTGGGTCCTAAACCAAATGGCATATAGCATGGAGAGTTGTCATACATCTTATTGTCTAAAAATCTTTCAGGACGAAATTTTTCCGGATCATCATAATACTTTGCATCATGATGGATCGCATAAACCGGAATCCAAAAAGTCATACCTTTCTTCATAATGAAGGGCTTCTCGCCTGGTAACGCGGGTGGTAATTCATAAGTCTCGTCACATACTCTTTCTAAGATAATGGCTGGATATAATCTAAGAGTTTCCTTTATATTATTGCATCTAAGTATTGAAACTGATTAATAATTTCAAAAGTCACTTGTCCATTCGATTCTTCTAGTATTTGATCAATTTCTTGCCGCAATTTCACTTGAACGTCTGGATTAGTTGCAATTTCATGAGCAACAAAAGATATTGTGGTTGAAGTAGTTTCAAGGCCAGCGAAGAAAAAAATAAATACTTGCGCAGCCATGTCAAGTTCTTTACGTTCTCTTTTACCTTTGATATCCATCATCAATTGGATCATATGCGGACGAATAATATTTTCAGCATCACGTGTAGCGATAGTAGTTTTTATAATATCTTTAAAGAAATCCGATACGTGATTGCTTATAATGTTTACATTGAAAATTCGACCGAACGTTCGAAAAGTCGTAAGAAAAATAATTTTCATAGTGGGGAGGTTGATGGCTCCTTTACCGCAAACAAAAAATTTGTTCGTTGGATCTTTCATAGAATCAATTTTGACTCCAAAAACACTCGAAGCGATGACATCGTTCGTATATTTCGCGAAGACGTCTTTCATATTCATGTCATTTTTTTCCATTGGTATCGATGTAGAAAAAAAATTAGTAAAGTCCACAGCGCATTCCGACATCAAGGTAAACATCATTTTCATCTTATTGGATGTAAAAGAGGGAGTTAATAGAGTTCGCACATCCCGCCACTTTTGTCCACGAAGAGAAAACAGATTGTTCGCAAGCAAAGGGTCGTTGAGATCGTTGAAACTGCGACGATCAGAAAACGTTTCGAAATTCTTCACAAAGACGGACTTAATTATTTCTGGATCACGAAGTAGAAAAATCGGATTTGTCGTGTCATAGAATCCAATATATTTTGCGTCTGGATTGAAATTATATATTTTGCAAATAAAATTAACCATTGATATTCGGCGAAATATAACCGATGTCATGTTGCCCAGTATTGGAACAGATGGTACGTGAATCATATCGTGTCTTTTGAAGAAATTGTAATTTCTAAACAGATAATGAATGCCAAGTGCACTAATCGCGATTGATAACAATATCGACCAATATTCCATTGTTATTCCAAATTTCTGTTGCAATTTATTTTGCAAAATGCTAATCGAAACTTGATTAACGCGCTGTTGTTACCACAAGTCGCTACAGACAACTGCTCGCTTGAAAATTTCATATCTCGTAATATACCTGCGAATTTTCCTGATACACAAGTTTTTATACGAGCACAGGGAAAAATCTAATATGTAATTATATTTTTTACTCTTACTTTTTCATTCTTGGTACTCTTAATTGATATTAATTATCATGTGAGTATTACATAAATATTATAACTAGATAAGAAAATTTCATATGAATTCATATGAAAAAAAAAATTTCATATGAATTCATATGAAAAAAAAATTTCATAGGAATTTCATAAGAAAAATTCATATCAAATAAAATATTAATATCTCATCACTATGCATCATTTAAAAAAATCATCTCATATAGTCCCCGTTTAAAAACTTTTGCATCAGAAAAATCCGCGGGTATATTACGAGATATGAAACTGTCATTACGAACTGTAGTTGTCTGCAGCGATTCATAGTAACAACATCGCTAATGCGCTGAATCAATTTTCGTGAGACATTTTGCAGACAAATTGCAACGACAATTGTACAGATTGTATATGACTGTATGTTATATTTTTTATATCAGAATTATGCAATTTATTTTTGCACTTTTTACATAATAATATTTTTTATTTCTCTATAAATACTATTTTCCATATAAAAAATAATGTGCTTTCCAATGAAATGAAATTGTTGTATGTGTCAATATTTTTCGAATTATTTTTAAAATTATAAAAAATTATATATTATGTATATGTATATGTAAGAGATTTATTTATAATATTCGAGAAAAAAAGGAATGAAAAATAAAAACAAAAGTAAATAATATATCAAAGTACTTCACTTTCATATAAATTATTTTACTTGAAATTATTTTACATATAGATACTCGAAGATAAAATTGTTTTATTAGAAAGGAAATTGTCAGGATTACTGAAGATATTTTATTTGAATTTGACAAGTAAGGACATTTATACAATTTAATTGTATGAACTAAATATAAAATAACGGTATATAAAGATATTTCGTTATTTTAAGTAATTTACTTTATTATTTGCATTTTTCTGTTAAATTTATTTCTTATCGCTGTTTGTTAGCTCATACTATTACGATATATTGATACTATCACGACTATAACGATATCACAATTTATGTATAATGATTTTGCGCAACAAATTATTCACAATTTGTATATAAAAAATTGCAACATAAACTTTATTTTAATAAGGAATCTGTCCTTGAAAGATGACGGAAGATAACTTGGACGCCCTGTATATACATACTCTTCTATCATTTATTACCAGCATGTATTTGTCGATATTGAAATAACTAATAATGAATAATGATTGTGCAGTTTTGCGCATTTATATGTAAATCTAATGAAATTGCCAATGTTATATCAAAGCTTATTTATATCGATTATCATTCGAATAAGGAATGTATCGCTGTGCACGTGTGTTAAGAAGATTATATGATATGCAGATGTCTTCACATAAAAAGTTATGATGTTAGTATAAACTTTTAATTATAAAATTTTAATGACAGATTTTGAATTGAATTTTTCAGCAAATAATTTTTTTAGCCTATTAATATCTATAAAAATCAAACTTATAAATCATGCGATATAGTATGCTATATAATGACAGAGGAACACAATTGACGCAATTGACGTTTCAATATTCAATAAATATTTAATATCAAACTCCAAGAACCTAAATAATTATTAAGTCTTAATATTTATCCATATGCAGAACCATATTACACAAATGTTTACATTTTTATAATAACTTATAATAAAAATTATCAAAAAAAGGAAACAAAAACGATTTTTTACAAATGTTTATAATATGTGAAGTAACATATAACGACGTAAACAAATTACATTATTATTACGATTGCCATTGTGTTACAAAAATGTTATGATTTTATCATAAGATGTATCATTATTCGAAAAAAAAAAATTTTCTTATTTTTTTAAAAATATTCTCTATGAATTAGTAATCAACCGTTAATCAACGAAAATTCAAAAATAATATTTATATCGCTTCTACGTTGAACATTCAACCAAACCCCACCTTCCGGCTTTATTATTAAACTTTTTTTGCTGAATTTTAATTTGTTATCACTTTTCGATTAAATTCATTTCGTATCACTGTTGTTTTTTGCTATTACTATTATGATACGCTGATTACGACTGTAATGGTACCACATTTTATGCATAATCATTTTGCGGAGATTATTCAGATATAAAGATTCTAGATATAAAAATTCTAGATTCTAGATTAAAAATAATATATTTTTTATTTTGATACTTTTTTATTTTGATACTACTATTTTTCAATATTGAAATAAGAAACTGTGAATAATGATTATGCAATTAAACTTTCTTCGCTGAATTTTAATTTGTTATCACACTTTAAACACGATTAAATACATTTCTTATCTGTTTTTTTGCTAATAGTATTACGATACGTTGATTACGACTGTAATGATATCACATTTTATACATAATCATTTTGCGCAGATTATTCAGATATAAAGATTCTAGATATAAAAATTACAATATATTTTTTATTTTGATACTTATTTTTCAATATTGAAATAAGAAACTGTGAATAATGATTGTGTAATTTTGCGCATTATAAGTAAATCTAATAAAGTTTACGTAAATATTACATCAAAACATAAACATTCAGCTAACTTTCAGCTAAATCAATTGACAATCGAATGAGGAGTGTATCGCTATATATATATTAACAAGGTTATGAAATATATAGATATTTTTATAAAAAAGATGCTAATACTATAAATAATTATAAATTTTTAACGATAGATTCGATAACAAAAATTATAAAAAAGAAAAACGATTCTTTCTAAGTTCGAACAATATATAACATATAATAGTGCCAATTTAAGCAAGTTATATATATATACGATGATCGTATTACAAGAATGTTATTATTTTTATCATCACGTATATCATTATTTAATAGAAAAAGATTTTCTGTTATTTTTACTTAAAATATTTTCTAAGAATTAGTAACACCGTTAATCAACGAGGATTCAAGCATAAGATTCATATCGCTTCTACGTTGAACATTCAACCAAAATCCACCTTCCGGATTTATTATAAAACTTTTTTTGCTGAATTTTAATGGCATTATTGTTTTCGCACAAGGTTTTAGCTCACATCGTGCTAAAAGATGAAACAGCACGACTTTCACTTCTAGCATGGCAAATCTGTTGGCTATACACATTCTCGGCCCTAATCCAAATGGCATATAGCATGTAGAGTTGTGATATATCTTGTTATCTAAAAATCTTTCAGGACGAAATTTTTCCGGATCATCATAGTATTTGGCATCATGATGAATCGCGAAAACCGGAATCCAAAAAGTCATACCCTTCTTCATAGTGAAAGGTTTTTCGCCAGGTAAAGCGGGTGGTAATTCATAAGCCTTGTCGCACATTCTTTCTAAAAAAATAATCGGTGGATATAATCTAAGAGTCTCATTTATCACCAAATCTAAATATTGAAGCTGGTTAATAGTTTCATATGTCACTTTGCTATTTGATTCTTCCAACGCTTTGTCGATTTCTTGCCGCAACTTGATCTGAACATCTGGATTAGCCGCAAGTTCATAAGCCACAAAGGACATTGCAGTTGAACTGGTATCGAAACCAGCGAAGAAAAAAACAAAAGCTTGAGCAACCATATCGTCGATATTAAGCTCTCTCCGACCTTCTTTACCTCTGATATCCATCATTAATTGAATCATATCCGAACGAATAATGTTCTCGGCATCACGAGTGGCAATAGTGGTTCTTATAATGTCTTTGAAGAAATCTGACACGTGACTGTCTATAAGTTTTACATTGAGAATACGCCCGAGCATTGGAAAAGTTCTAAGAAAAAGAAATTTAATGCTGCGAATTCCAGAGAAGGAGTTGACCAGCTCTTTACCATAAACATAAAACTTGTTCGTTGGATCCTTCATAGAATTGATTTTGATCCCAAAAGCACACGTAGCGATGACATCATTTGTATATTTAGCGAAGACGTCTTTCATATCCATGTCGCTTTTTTCTCTTGGTATCGATGTGGAAAGAAAATTAGCAAAATCCACAGCGCATTTCGACATCAAGGTAAACATCATTTTCATTTTGCTAGATGTAAAAGAGGGACTTAATAGAGTTCGCACATCCCGCCACTTTTGTCCATGAAGAGAAAACAGATTGTTTGAAAATAAGGGTTCGTTCAAATTATTGAAACCGCGACGGTTAGGAAACGCATCGAAATTCTTCAGAAGAATAGACTTAATTATTTCTGGATCACGAAGCAAAAACATTGGATTAGTCGTAGCGTAGAATCCTAAATATTTTGCATCTGGATTGAAGTTATATATCTTGCGAGTAAAATCGACGAAAGATATTCTGCGAAATATAACCGATGTCATGTTGCCCAGTATTGGAACAGATGGTATGTGAATCACATCATGTCTTTTGAAGAAATTGTAATTTCTAAACAGGTAATGAATACCAAGTACACTAATCACGATTGATAACAATATCGACCAATATTCCATTGTTATTCCAAATTGCTGTTGCAATTTATTTGCAAAATGCCGATCGAAACTTGATTAGCGCGCTATTACTACAAGTCGCTACGGACAACTGCTCGCTTGAGAATTACATATCTCGTAATATATCCGCGGATTTTTCTGATGCAAGAGTTTTTAAATTGATAAGGTGAATGTATGATACTGACGCGAGACAGTGACGTACTTTGCTCAATGTATCATAAATATTTCTTTATCTACTGATGATATTTATACAATACTTACATAATAATTAATATATGAATACCGAAAGATATAACTACATATAGTTATTCTTTTGATATCAGAATTGTACAAATTATTTGTCCAATCTCTGTATAATAATAATTTTATTTCCGTAAAAGTAACTATTTGCAATATATAAAATAATGTACTTTGCATTAAAACTAAGTTATGGTATGTGTGATTATCGAAATCTTTTTAAAAACAGTAATTTCTTATATTAAGTATATATGAGAAATTTATTTGTAGCCGAAAAAAAGAGGAGTGAGAAGTGGCAACAAAAGTAAATAATAAATAAAAATAATTTTGTTTTTATACAGATTAGTTTTCTTGAGATTACTATACATTACTATGTATAAATGCTCGGAGGAAAATTATTTTGTGAGGGAAAATTATCAGTATTATTAGAGATATTTTATTTGAGTTTGATAAATAAGAATAGATGAACAATTTAATTCTGTAAAAACTAAATATATCTTGTACAAATCAAAATCTATCTTGCAGAATGCTATTTAATATTTCGTTATTTTAGATAACATTAATTTGTTATCACTTTTCGATTAAATTAATTTCGTATCACTATTGTTTTTTGCTGTTACTAACATGATATGCTGATTACGACTGTAATGATACCACATTTTATGCATAATCATTTTGCGCAGATTATTCAGATATAAAGATTCTAGATATAAAAATTACAATATATTTTTTATTTTGATACTTATTTTTCAATATTGAAATAAGAAACTGTGAATAATGATTATGCAATTTTGCGACATTATAAGTAAATCTAATGAAGTTTACCTAAATATTATATCAAAACATGAACATTCAGCTAACTCAATTGATAATCAAATGAGGAATGTATCGCTATACATATCTTAACAAGATTATGTAATATATAGTTATTTTTATAAAAGGATGCTTATACTGTAAGTAATTATAAATTTTTAACGATAAGTTTCTTAACAAATTTTGAATTGAATTTTTTGGGAAACAATTGTTTGAACTAATTAAATACATTAATATATGTAAAAATCGCGAAACTTTTAAATTTCTTTTATAAAAATATGATTAGCTCAATCGAAAAATTCGATAATACAAGATATTTTTAACAATAATGGCTCGTATATAAGTACACGGATCTTCTTCGCTGGTGGTACGCGAGATATAGTGTGTGATAATGCATGCGCCCCATTGATATTTAATGTTTAAAAATTTAATGAATACTTAATATCAAACTAAGCATTTATTGATAAGAAATTAAGCAATTATTAATTCTCTATTTATTCAAACATACGCTTCAATAATTATTTATAATAAAAATTATAAAAAAGGAAAACGATTCTTTATAAGTTCGTACAATATATAACATATAATATTGTAGTATTGTATATATAACATATAATATTGTACAATATAATATTGTACAATATTAATTTGTACAATATTAATTGTAACATATAATATTGCCAATTTAAGTAAGTTATATTGTCATGATGATTGTGTTACAATAACGTTATTTTTATCATCACGTATATCATTGTTCAGTAGAAAAAGATTTTCTGTTATTTTTACTTAAAATATTTTCTAAGAATTAGTAACACTGTCAAACAGGATAGATTCAAGAACAGGATGCATATCGTTCCTACGGTGAACATTCAACCAGAATCCACCTTCCGGTATTATTGTCAAACTTTTTTTGCTGAATTTTAATGGCAAAGTAGTTTTCGTACAAGGTTTTAGCTCACATCGTGCTAATAGATGAAACAGCACGACTTTCACTTCTAGCATGGCAAACCTATTGGCTATACACATTCTCGGTCCTAATCCAAATGGCATATAGTACGGTGAGTTATGATACATTTTGTTTTTGTCTAAAAATCTTTCCGGACAAAATTTTTCCGGATCATCGTAATATTTTTTATCTCGATGAATCTCAAAATTCACAATCCAAAAATTCATACCCTTCTTTATAGTGAAAGGTTTCTTGCCTGGTAATGCAGGTGGTAATTCATAATCTTTGTTGCATAGTCTGTCTATGAGAACTGGTGGATATAATCTGAGAACCTCATTTATCACCAGATCTAAATATTCAAGACGGTTAATAGCTTCGTATGTCACTTTCCCGTTTGATTCCTCGAGAACCTTATCTATTTCCTGTCGCAATTTGATTTGAATATCTGTATTAACTGCAAGTTCATGAGCTGCAAAGCACATTGTGGTTGAACTAGTATCGAAACCACCAAAAAAAAAAATGAACGCTTGCGCGATCATGTCATCGACATCAAGCTCTCTACGGTCATCTTTGCCTCTAATGTCCATCATCAATTGAATCATATCCGGACGCGTAATATTCTCGGCATCCCGAGAGGCAATAGTAGTCCTTATAATGTCTTTAAAAAAATCCGACACGTGTTTATCTATAAGTTTTACATTGAGAATACGCCCGAGTGTCGGAAACATTCTGAGAAAAAAAAATTTAATAGGACGAGTTGCAAAGAAATTAGTCGCCTCCTTGCCGTAAACAAAGAATTTATTTGTTGGATCCTTCATAGAATTGATTTTGATTCCAAAAGCACATGAGGCAATAATATCATTTGTGTATTTAGCGAATACGTCTTTCATATCTATATTTCCTTTATCCGCTGGTACAGTTGATAGATAATTAGCAAAGTCCACTGCGCATTCCGACATCAAGGTAAACATCATTTTTATCTTGCTGGATGTAAAAAAAGGACTTAATAAAGTTCGCACGTCACGCCACTTTTGTCCACGAAGAGAAAACAGATTGTTCGCAAGCAATGGCTCGTTCAAATCATTGAAACCGTAATGATCGGGAAATGCTTCGAAATTCTTCACAAGGACGGATTTAATGATTTCCGTATCACGAAATAGGAAAGTTGGCGTTCCCATTAAGTAGAATCCAATATATTTTGCATCCGGATTGTAAGTGTATAGCTTGTGGATAAAATCGGTCAATGATATTCGACGAAATATAACTGATGTCATGTTGCCCAGTATTGGAACAGGCGGTACGTGAATGATATCGTGTCTTTTGAAAAAATTATAACTTCTAAACAAATAATGTATGCCAAGTGCACCAATCACTATTGATAACAAAATCAACCAGTATTCCATGGCACATGGATGTTATCTCAAATTTTCGTTGGAATCTGTTTGCAAAACGTCTGACAAAATTTGATTTAACACACTAGCGATATTGCTAGCACGAATCGTTGCAGGCAACTGTTCGTAAGGCTGTTTCGCAACTCGTATCAAGATTATTCTATTCAAAGATTAAGAGCTAACATGTATGCATAGACATAGTAAGTATAGACCGAGCATTGCATAAGCGTTAAGCATACGAAAGAAAGACAAAAGATGTAAGATGATTTTCTTTCTCTTTTCAATGCCGGAGAAGTGGGGAGCACTTTTCCACATCTTCTCGCGCCGGTTCGTCATGGAGGGGCGAGGAGGTGAGGAGAAATGCTCCCCACTTCTTCGGTATTAAAAAGAGAAAGAAACTCATCTTACATCTTTTGTCTTTCTTTTCGTATGCTTAACGCTTATACGATGGATGCTCGGTCTATACTTACTATATCTATGCATGTATAAGATTAAGGATTTTGTGTATGTACAATCCCAGCAAAAAGTAGCTGAAAATCAATATTGACGAATATCCACTTTTGGTGTATTTTGAGTGTGAGAAGTTGTGTGGAATATTACAATTTGATCTTAGCTGCAGAGATGTATTTTTTAATATTTATTGCGTTTTTACTGAAATATTCCGAATTTTGTTAATCGAAATGATTAACTTTTGGCAGTGAATTTCGCCTTGTGACAGATACTAACTTCATTGAATTATATTTAATATCTTTTTAACCAGTTAGTACTTGTATATTATTTGACCAGATATTTCCTCTAAACTTATCTAAACTTTTGCAAATTATAAACAAATTCTGAATATTATTTCCATGTGTTTTTGTCATTTGAATCGACGTGGTTATGAGTTTCCTATAAGAACACATGTTAATTCGGTGTAAATTAAAATCCTTATAACTTGTGAACGCTTTAGTGAATCGATTTAAAAATTGTACTGAAGAAACATATGTAAGGACAATCTGTACAATTTTCATTAAATTCTCAATATTTTGAAAATAGATACAAAACATCTTTAATGTATTATTACTGATAAAACATTGATATTTTATAAGTCAACAAACTTCAATTATTTCTTTATTTACTAATTATATTTACGTAATATATATGTGACAATTAATATCTAAAAATAATGATTTGTCATTAAAATGTTGTTTGTGTATTTATTTTAAATACATCGAGTTATTTTTGAACATAAATAACCTCATTTAAAAATATTGTGTGTACTTATTTATAGCATTCGATATAAAATTCAATAAAAAATAATGAGAAATAACGAGAAAAATAATTTTTGTATAAAGTATCATATTTTGACATTATTGTACGAGTTATTATTTTAGGGAGTTAGGAAAGTTATATTTTAAGAAAATAATTTAATGGAAAAAATGTATAGAATCATGTTGTAGTGACTGTAATTCCAGTGTTCCCTAGTAAACATTAAATATTATACTTAATTTGTCAGATAATAAATGAATATTATCAAAACTCTGAGTCTACTTGAAAATCAGTTTTAAAAATGACAAGAATAAGGAAAAATGTACGAAAATACTTAAAATTATTGTTTCTTCCAAAATTATCAATTAAATTCAATTCAATTCAATTAAGAGTGAAAAGCGTAAAGAATCATGTGATTTGCTGGAGACATTCTATTTGAATTTAAAAAATAAATAAAATTATAGTTTAATAGTTTAATAGTTACACATTGTATAAACTAAAACGATTTTGTATAAAACATCGCGATACACACATTTTGTTATTTTAACTGATTTATATTTTTATCTACGTTTGTTTGTAAAGTTCATTTCTTATCACTGTTTTTTTATACTGACATCAATATAATAATTAATATAATAACATCTTGAAGTTTGCTATTTTGTACAACTGTAGGTTATTTATTAATCTGAACAAAATTATAAAATAAACTTTATTTTGATATATAAAGAAATTTGTTTTCGTACCGTTTACAACTCTCATTTATCGATATTAAAATGACGAATTAAGAATAAAAAATGAATCTAATAAAATTTAAATGTTATATCGAGGAATAAGTCAATTACTTGATATTATACAAGCGTATAGTATGTTAAAAATTATATAATATTATACATAACTTGTTTACATAAAAAACAACAATTGTATAAAAAGATAATTATAATAATTATAATTATATCTTTTTAATGGTAGATTCTTTGACATATTTTGAATTGAATTTTTCAACAAATAATTTGATTAGCCTATTAATATCTATAAAAGTCAAATTTATAAATCTCTATTAAAAACTTGGCTAGCCTAATCATTATTAAAAAATTTGATAATACAAAATACTCTCTCAACTGTGAGGCTCGCTCTATTAATACATTAATGTGTATCAATCTCTCTTCGCTGTGTTATGCGATATATAGTATGCTATGTAATGACATATGCACATAAATGACATTTAATGTCTAAGTATTTAACGTTTAAATATTTAATATTAATAAATTCTAACAAGCAATTATTAATTCTTAATATTAACTCAAACAGGCAGTTTTGCATTTTTGCTGCTTATAATAAAAATTATCAAAGAAAAGAAAAAAAACGGTTTTTTAAAAATACTATATATACTATATATAATATATATATAATAATAGTATATATAATAATAGTGAAGTAATAATACAATTATATATATATATATAATAGAAAACGGATTTTTAAAAATACAATACTATATATATATAGTATTGTATAAAAAATATGAAATAATAAATATATATATATATATATTTATTATTTTTATTATTTAAAATATTTTCTAAGAATTAGTAACGCCGTTAATCAACGAGGATTCAAGCATAGGATTCACATCGCTTCTACGTTGAACATTCAACCAAAATCCACCTTCCGGCTTTATTATTAAACTTTTTTTACTGAATTTTAATGGCATTGTTATTTTCGCACAAGGTTTTAGCTCACATCGTGCTAATAGATGAAACAACACGACTTTCACTTCTAGCTTGGCAAATCTGTTGGCTATACACATTCTCGGCCCTAATCCAAATGGCATATAGCATGAAGAGTTGTGATACATCTTGTTATCTAAAAATCTTTCAGGACAAAATTTTTCCGGATCATCATAGTATTTGGCATCATGATGAATCGCGAAAACCGGAATCCGAAAAGTCATACCCTTCTTCATAATGAAAGGTTTTTCGCCAGGTAAAGCGGGTGGTAATTCATAAGCCTTGTCGCACATTCTTTCTAAAAAGATAACCGGTGGACATAATCTAAGAGTCTCATTTATCACCAAATCTAAATATTGAAGCTGGTTAATAGTTTCATATGTCACTTTGCCATTTGATTCTTCCAACGCTTTGTCGATTTCTTGCCGCAACTTGATCTGAACATCTGGATTAGCCGCAAGTTCATAAGCCACAAAGGACATTGCAGTTGAACTGGTATCGAAACCAGCGAAGAAAAAAATAAAAGCTTGTGCGATCATATCGTCGATATTAAGCTCTCTTCGATCTTCTTTACCTTTGATATCCATCATTAATTGAATCATATCCGAACGAATAATGTTCTCGGCATCACGAGTGGCAATAGTGGTTCTTATAATGTCTTTGAAGAAATCTGACACGTGACTGTCTATAAGTTTTACATTGAGAATACGCCCGAGCGTTGGAAAAGTTCTAAGAAAAAAAAATTTGATGTTGCGAATTCCAGAGAAGTAGACCAGCTTTTTACCATAAACATAAAACTTATTCGTTGGATCCTGCATAGAATTGATTTTGATCCCAAAAGCACACGTAGCGATGACATCATTTGTATATTTAGTGAAGACGTCTTTCATATCCATGTCGCTTTTTTCTCCTGGTATCGATGTGGAAAGAAAATTAGCAAAATCCACAGCGCATTCCGACATCAAGGTAAACATCATTTTCATTTTGCTAGATGTAAAAGAGGGACTTAATAGAGTTCGCACATCCCGCCACTTTTGTCCATGAAGAGAAAACAGATTGTTTGAAAACAAGGGTTCGTTCAAATTATTGAAACCGCGACGGTTAGGAAACGCATCGAAATTCTTCAGAAGAATAGACTTAATTATTTCTGGATCACGAAGCAAAAACATTGGATTAGTCGTAGCGTAGAATCCTAAATATTTTGCATCTGGATTGAAGTTATATATCTTGCGAGTAAAATCGACGAAAGATATTCTGCGAAATATAACCGATGTCATGTTGCCCAGTATTGGAACAGATGGTATGTGAATCACATCATGTCTTTTGAAGAAATTGTAATTTCTAAACAGGTAATGAATACCAAGTACACTAATCATGATTGATAACAATATCGACCAATATTCCATTGTTATTCCAAATTGCTGTTGCAATTTATTTGCAAAATGCCGATCGAAACTTGATTAGCGCGCTATTACTACAAGTCGCTACGGACAACTGCTCGCTTGAGAATTACATATCTCGTAATATATACGCGGATTTTCCTGATGCAAGAGTTTTTAAATTGATAAGGTGAATGTATGATACTGGCGAAACAGTGACTTACTTTGCTCAATGTATCATAAATATTTCTTTATCTATTGATGATATTTATACAATACTTACATGATAATTATTATATGAATACCGAAAGATATAACTACATATAGTCATTCTTTTGATATCAGAATCGTACAAATTATTTGTCCAATCTCTGCATAATAATAATTTTATTTGCGTAAAAGTAACTATTTGCAATATATAAAATAATGTACTTTGCATTAAAATTAAGTTATGGTATGTGTAATTATCGAAATCTTTTTAAAAACAGTAATTTCTATATATTAAGTATATATGAGAGATTTATTTGTAGCAGAAAAGAAGAGAAGTGAGAAGTGGCAACAAAAGTAAATAATAAATAAAGATAATTTTTTTTTATACAGATTAGATTTTCTTGAGATTACTATACATATGTATAAATGCTCGGAAGAAAATTATTTTCAGAGGGAAAATTATCAGTATTATTAGAGATATTTTATTTGAGTTTGATAAATAAGAAATAATAGAATAGATGAACAGTTTAATTCTATAAAAACTAAATACATCTTGTACAAATCTAAATCTATCTTACAGAATGATAATAAAAATATTTCGTTATTTTAGTTTGTTATCACTCTTCGATTAAAAACTGTTTTTTTTTTTTGCTAATACTATTGTGATACGCTGATTACGATTGTAGTGATATTACATTTTACGTATAATCATTTTGCGCAGCAGATTATTCACGATTCTAGATATACAAAATTGCAATATATTTTATATTTTGATATTTATTTGTTAATATTGAAATAAGAAACTGTGAATAATGATTATGCAATTTTGCGCAATTATAAGTAAATCTAATGAAGTTTACATAAATATTATATCGAAACATAAACATTCAGCTAACTCAATTCACAATCAAATGAGGAATATATCGCTATACATATGTTAACAAAATTATGAAATATATAGATATTTTTATAAAAAAGATGCTAATACTATAAGTAATTATAAATTTTTAACGATAAGTTTCGTAACAAATTTTAAATTGAATTTTTTGGCAAACAGTTGTCTGAGCTATTAAATACATTAATATATGCAAAAATCGCGAAACTTTTAAATCTCTATTATAAAAATCCAGTTGGCTCAATCGAAAAATTCGATAATACAAGATACTTAACAATAGTATATTATATATATATATATATATATATATATATAACGTTTAAAAATATAATGAATATTTAATATCAAACTAAGCAATTAATGATGACAAACTAAGTAATTATTAATTCTCTGTTTATTCAAACAGACGTTTCTACAATTATTTATGATAAAAATTATAAAAAAAGAAAATCGATTCTTTATGAATTCTTACAATATATATATATATATATATATATATATATATATATATATATAACATGTAATAGCGCCAATTTAAACAAGTTATATTGTCATGATGATTGTGTTAAGATTATAAGAACGTTATTTTTATCATCACGTATATCATTGTTCAGTAGAAAAAGATTTTCTGTTATTTTTATTTAAAATATGTATTTTCTAAGAATTAGTATCTCCGTTAAACAGCATAGATCCCATCACAGGATGTATATCGCTTCTACGCTGAACATTCAACCAGAATCCACCTTCCGGCATTATTGTCAAACTTTTTTTATTGAATTTCAATGGCAATATAGTTTTCGCGCATGGTTTCAGTTCACAACATGCTAATAGATGAAACAATAAGATTTTAATCTCTAACATGGCAAATCTGTTGGCTATACACATTCTCGGTCCTAATCCAAATGGCATATAATACGATGAGTTATGATACGTTTTGTTGTCTAAAAATCTTTCCGGACGAAATTTTTCTGGATCATCGTAATATTTTTTATCTCGATGAATGCTAAAAACCGGAATCCAAAAATTCATTCCCTTCTTCATAATGAAAGATTTCTTGTCTGGTAATGCAGGTGGCAATTCATAATCTTTGTTGCATAGCCTTTCTATCGGAACTGGTGGATATAACCTGAGAACTTCATTTATCACCAAATCTAAATATTCGAGCCCGTTAATAGTTTCATATGTCACTTTCCCGTTGGACTCCTCGAGAACCTTGTCTATCTCCTGCTGCAATTTGATTTGAATATCTATATTAACAGCAAGTTCATGAGCTGCAAAGCACATCGTGGTTGAGCTAGTATCGAAACCACCGAGAAAAAAGACGTACGCTTGCGCGATCATGTCATCGACATCAAGCTCTCTTCGACCTTCTTTGCCTCTAATATCCATCATCAATTGAATCATATCCGGACGTGTAATATTCTCGGCATCACGAGTAGCAATAGTAGTCTTTATAATGTCTTTAAAAAAATCCGACACGTGTTTATCTATAAGTTTTACATTGAGAATACGCCCGAGTGTCGGAAACATTCTAAGAAAAAAAACTTTAATAGGACGTGTTCCAAAGAAACTAGTCGCTTCCTTGCCGTAAGCAAAGAACTTATTTGTCGGATCCTTCATAGAATTGATTTTGATTCCAAAAGCACATGTGGCAATAATATCATTTGTGTATTTAGTGAAAACGTCTTTCATATCTATATCCGCTGATATAGGTGTTGATAGATAACTAGCAAAGTCTACTGCGCATTCCGACATCAAGGTAAACATCATTTTCATCTTGCTGGATGTAAAAGAGGGACTTAATAGTGTTCGCACGTCACGCCACTTTTGTCCACGAAGAGAAAACAAATTGTTTGTAAGCAAAGGTTCGTTCAAATCGTCAAATCCGAAACGATCGGGAAATGCTTCGAAATTCTTCACCAGGACGGATTTAATGATTTCCGGATCACGAAATACGAAAGTTGGCGTTCCCATGAAGTAGAATCCAATATATTTTGCATCCGAATTGGAAGTGTATAGCTTGTGGATAAAATCGGTCAATGATATTCGACGAAATATAACTGATGTCATGTTGCCCAGTATTGGAACAGGCGGTACGTGAATGATACCGTGTCTTTCTAAATAATTATAATTTCTAAACAGATAATGGATGCCAAGTGCACCAATCACGATTGATAACAATATCAACCAGTATTCCATGGCACACGGATGTTATCTCAAATTTTCGTTGGAATCTGTTTGCAAAACGTCTGGCAAAATTTGATTTAACACACTAGCGATATTGCTAGCACGAACCGTTGCGGGCAACTGTTCGTAAGGCTGTTTCGTATCTCGTTATGTATCAAGATTTTTCTGTTCAAAGGTTATAAGAGTTAACATATGTAAAACTGATACTTATTATTACTGACGTATTATTACTGACTGAAACATTGATATCTTATAAGTAAATAAACTTCAAGTTTTTCTTTACTCATTAGTTATATTTATGTAATATATATAATAATTATTACGTAATAAATATTATGATATGTATTATGTAATATATGTATAATTAATATAATGCCCAGAGTTGTAATTACGTGTTGTAATATTTTTGATATAAAATTACATATTTTTTTGTATAAAAAAAAATTTACTTATATGTAAGTAGCCATATTTAATTGGCAATATATAAAAATAATATACTTTGTAATTAAAATGCTGTTTGTGTTATTATCAAGTTATTTTTAAATATAAAAAACTTCATTTAAAAATATTGCGTGTGCGACTTATTTGTAGCATTCGATAAAATTCAATAAAAAATAATGACGAATGACAAGAAAAATAAATGTTGTATAAAGTATCTTGTTTTGACATTATTTTACGAGTTATTTTATAGATATATTTTAAGAAAATAATTTAATGGAAGGAATCGGAGAGTTACAAATATTGGGGATATTCCAGTTAAATTTAAAAAATAAAAGAAATTATACAGTTTAGTTGAATATTTAAAACAATGTATAAACTAAAAAGATTTTGTATAGAACATCGTGATGCGCACATTTTGTTATTTTACTGATTTATATTTTTAACTACGTTTGTTTGTAAAATTCATTCCTTATCATTGTTTTTTTTAAATATTGTTTTTTACTAATCAATAACGATATCATGAAGTTTGCTATTTTGTACAACTATAAATTATTTACTGATCTGACAAAATTATAAAATAAACTCAATTTTATTTATTATATAAAAAAAGTTTGCTTTCTTATCTTTTATAACTCTCATTTATCAATATTGAAATGACAAATCATGAATAATAATTATGCAATTTTGCAGAACCGTTCGTAATCTAAAACCGTTCGTAAATCTAATGAAATTTACGTAATTGTTATATTGAAGGATAAGTCAATCAATTATTTGATATTATATGTACAGTATATTAATAAAATTATATCACGTAGCTATTTTACATAAAAAATAATATTTGTATAAAAAGATTACTATAATTATGTCTTTTTAATAGTAGATTCTTTGATATATTTTGAATTAATATTTTTCAGCAAAGAGAGTTGTAAAATTTATAATGTTTAATATAATATATTTATGAAACATAAATTTCCTATTTTCCTTTCAGTTGTCTACGTTTATTACACAAATAAAATGAAATATATGTTTAATTATTAAAGATATTACAATGTGAAAACTAATATGCAAATTCAAAAAGATATATGATTATTAATATATTTGAAATCTTTCTCTTATCAAATTAGTTAAAAAATTGAATTGATTGATGTTATCAGTATAATATTTTATTATGCATATTATATATATGTTTACTAATAAATGTACATATAATATTTATTTTATATATCAGTATTTCTTGATTCATATTATTAGCGTTACTATTTCACAATATATCGTTGCGATTGCATCATGCCCATGTTATCAATTTATTCTTTGATTCTCTTGACAATATAATCATTTTGGCCTTGATTCCTATTATACTGCAGAGATAAATGATATCATTCTGACAATCATTCAAATACACAATATCTTAACAGTATACTCTTTGCAAGTTAAGACTAATGACTTTTATAACTTTACAATTTGTATATTTCTTATATTTCTATATTTGTTAATAATATTTTTTATTTATTATCCTAATACCTCTTAAAGTTTCAATAAACATATATAATAATTATTTCTTTCATATTCCATTATGTTTCTTATATTTATTACTTATTTATTACTTATAAATAATTATTTTATTTGGATGTAGAGAACGTAAGAGAGAAAAAAAGAGAGAGAGAGAGAGGGAAGAAAAAGAGAGAAAGGAGGGTTACGAATTACAGATTATAAATTATGTATATATAATAATACATTTAAATCTTATTATTAATTACTATATATATATATATATATATATATATATATATATATTAATACTCTTTTTAATATTCTTTTTAATTGAAAATAATATCTTTTATTATTTGACGTTGTTAAACTTTTTATATTCAATTTGGATATAAGAGTATAAATATAATTTATTATACTAATATATAAAAATTTCTACATTTTCGTAAAAAATAATTTAAAGCTGAATTTTATTATGTCAAATTATTTTTTAGTCGCTATTATTAAAAAATATAAATGATCACAAAATTCAGTAACAATTTTCTTTAAACTTTATTGTTAAAAATCAAATAAAAGATAAAATTATAAATAAAAATAAGTAAAAAATTAATATTTTATTGCTTGTATGATTAATATTCTATAAGTTTCATTGTTTTGATGATTATACAAAGAAAAGTAATATCTTATATTATTTTGCGTCGTTACTTTAGAATAAGACTATTTTATACAATTTATACAAACATCTCCACTACAAATACATATATACGTATATTTTTCTCCAGTATTATTTCTCATTGAAATAGAATTGCATTGGGTTTATATTTACAAAAGTATTTTATCGACATTCGTACAAATTTAAATATGACCATTGGCTGCATTACCATTAATGTTTGTAGATATATTAATATGAGCATCTCTTCTCAACTGAATCTTTAGCCAGAACCCTCCCTCCGCTAACATGGTAAAACTTGTTTTGCTCAATCGTAAGGGATGGCAAGTCTTTGCGCACAGTTTTAATTCGCAACGAGCTAATAAATGAAATATCACGACTTTGGTCTCCAATAATGCAAATCTATTACCTATGCACATTCTCGGGCCGATTCCGAATGGTAAATATGCATTAATATTTAACCTTTTCTTATTTTCATCCAGAAAACGTTCGGGATAGAACTCATCCGGTCTTTCGAAATATTTGGGATCCCGATGAATACCATATATAGGTAACCAAACGTACATTCCTTTCTTCACAACGAAGGGCTTATCTCCGGGAAGTGCTGGCGGTAGCTCAAAATCTTGTACACATAATCTATCTATAGCCACTGCCACAGACCACATCCTAAGAGTCTCATTAATCACAGCATCCAAATATTGCATTCCGTTCAAAGCTTCATAAGTTAATTCTCCGTTCGTTTTCTTTAAAACCTCGTCTATCTCGTCGCGCAATTTTGTCTGAACGCTTGGATTAACGGCAATTTCGTGAGCAGCAAAGCACATCAAGGTAGAAACGGTATCGAAACCACCAAAAAAGAAGATGAACGCTTGCGAAGTCATATCTTCGATCGTCAGTTCTTTTCCGGGTCCTCTTTTCCCTCTACTTTCCATCATGAGTTGCAGCATATCTGGACGTATGATATTCTGCTTGTCTCTGGTATCTATGGTGTTCCTCACGAGATCCTTGAAAAATTTACCTACACGATCATCAACGAATTTAATACCCAACATTTTGGTGATACGAGGCATACTTCTGACGAAATAAAACTTTATAGTGCGTAGAGTGTTAAAAGTAGTGGCATCTTTTCCGTAAACGTAAAATTCATTGGTAGGATTTCTCATAGAATCAACGCCAATCCCGAAGGCGCAGGTTGCGATTACGTCATTCGTGTACCTGGTGAAGCAGTCTTTCATTTCCATAACACTTTTGTCAGAAGGTAACTTGGCAAGGAACTCGGTAAAATTGGCAGCACAGTCAGACATTAGCTTAAACATAGCTTTCATTTTACTAGATGTAAAAGCGGGACTTAGTAGAGTTCTGACATCTCGCCATTTATCACCACGAAGCGAAAATAAATTCTTGCCAAATAGAGGATCATTAACTTCGTCGATGAAAGCGCGATGATCAGGAAACGACTCAAAATTTTTAACGCCGATCGACTTGATAAGATCCGGATCGCGAATCATCACTATTGGATTCATGCTGTCGAAGAAACCGACATATTTGGCATCTGAATTCAGATTGTAAATTTTTTTAATAACTTCGGCCCTCGATAACTGGCGGAGAACCGTTGGCGCGATGTTGCCCAGGACAGGCCACGGTGTTAAGTGAATAATCCCATGTTTTTTGAAGAAATTTAAATCCTTAAAACAGTAATAATAGACAGCGATGGTGCCTGCTAAAATCGACAATAGTATCCAAGTGTCCATAATGACGAGATGTTGTGAAGAATCACAATTGTAGATACGACGATTGTATCTACGACGTCGTTGAATTACAACTGCTGTAGTTACTAAAGGTCCTCTCTTTATATACTGAAACCTCTCCATACTAACTGAAACCCCTCTTTATATACTGCATCCAAATCAGATAACGTATCACAGCTTTGATTCTAATTTAAAGTGAACATAAGAAAAAAAGTTGATAGACGATATAATTTATCGATAATTCAATTACTAATCACATAGAAAGCGCAATAGTGAGGTTTTCTTCTTCTTATTTTTTTCTTATTATTTTTTTATATCTAGTGATAATTGTGATAAAACAATGGAAAGAAAAAAACAATGCGTAACCAGTATGTAACGGTGCGAAAACTCGAAAAACTTTAATGGACGTAGTTTGTCAAAGTGCTTATGACTTGCACAATCTATTAAGCGATTGAACATTGAATCATAACTAATTGTAAGTCTACACAATAGAATAAAAGAAATTTTAGAAAAGTTGTTTTTACAGTATTATTGTTAGAATTTTTATTTTGTTATACATATATAAAGAAAAATATAATACGAATAATTATAAAAAATTGTTTAATATTTAAAGTTACTTGTATAAATTTTTCAGAAGTATCACAAAATTTCACGTGTTCTTCTATGCTTATTGACTAAATGTCCATTTCTTTGTTAAAATGTTAATATAAAGCTATGTGAAAGATTTTAAATAACTTCCTTTATCGACTCAGTTGTCAAGTTAATGCTAATATTATAAGCATATCTCGTATTATGATTTTTTATATTTTTTCTCTATCTCTCTCCTTCCCCCCCACTTCTCTCTTTATCCATCTGCTCTAAACAGTCAAAATTAAATTGTCTATTATTGTCAATAATATTTTTGTCTTATTATATTATATATTATTAATAAACAAATGTACTCATACTGTTACAGCTTTTTATTTTTACTATTCAAATAATGCGGATTATTTCGTAATAATCTATTTTGTAAATACTTATAGCCATTTTGCGTTCCATTGTAACTATTCAATGTAACCATTTTAACCTTGGTTTCAATTATACTGTAGAGTTGAACTTACATCATTTTAACAATCATCTAATTTATTCAATGATTTAATGACTTGCACTCTTCATAAGTTGAGAACAAAAGTAACTTTTATACATTTATTTTAGTTTTAGAATATATTAGAATATACAATTTAATTTGTTCATTTTATATTTCTTGATAATATTTTATTTTTTAATATCTTAAAGTTTCGATAAATGTATGAATATAGAAAACAATTATTATTTCATGTATCTAATTACTTTCACATTTCTATTATATAAATAATTATCTTATGTAAACATAAAGAGAGAGAGCGAGAGAGAGAGAGAGAGAGAGAAAGAGAGAGAGAGAGAGAGAAATGAGAGAGACAAGAGAAGGAGAAAATAAAGTTACAGAATATTTGCTATATTATATAACAAAAATCATATATGTATGTATATATTTTAATAAATACATAAATATTTAATAAATATATAATAATAATATACTTTTTTCCTAGTGGATAATATTCTATATTTTGTGTTACAAAAACTATATACACATAATTTCAATTTAAGTATATAAATATATTTAATATTATTTTTACATATCTATCATTGTACTTCCAGATAATATGTTTTTTATAGATTTTAATATAATCCTCCTTTTGGTTAAATATATAAAAATTTTGTTCTTATATAAATTTTCTATTGCAACATAAGATATATTTAATATATAATAACTTTATCGTATTTATACATAAGAGTAAATACATATTTAAGAAATAATTTGAAAAAGAATTTAATCAAATTATTTCAAATTAATTGAAATTATTATTTCTTTTGGTTAATTATTATTATTATTATCATCGCATATTATTATTCAAAAATATAGACAATCATAGATTAGAAAACAGTATTGATTACCCTCATACAAACTCTAATAATAAAAATCAAATAAAAGATCAAATTATAAGTAAGTATTATCCTACTACAGCTATCTTGATGATCACAAAGAAGAGCATTATTTAAAATAAAATTATTTGACAAGCATATTTATGTTACATATATCAATGTCTCAAACTTTATTTCTCTTAGCCAATTGTAAGTAAATACAAATCGGATTTTTATTTACAAATGCATATTTTATCGACATTCACGGATTAAGCATGGCTATTAGTCGTAGCATCATTAACGTTTCTGAATACATTAGCATGAGCATCGCTTCTCGGTTTAATTTGTAGCCAAAATCCCTCTTTTGCCTGCATGGCGAAGCTTCCTCTGTTCAATTGTAAAGGATGGGAAGTCTTTCCGCACAGTTTCAATTCGCAACGAGCCAATAAATAGAACATCACGACTTTGGTCTCCAATAATGCAAATCTATTACCTATGCACATTCTCGGGCCGATTCCGAATGGTAAATATGCGTCAATATTTAACTTTTTCTTATTCTCGTCCAGAAAACGTTCGGGATAGAACTCATTCGGTTTTTCGAAATATTTGGAGTCCCGATGAAGACCATAAACAGGAAACCAAACGACGGATCCTTTTTTCACGACAAAGGGTTTATCTCCAGGAAGCGCTGGCGGTAATTCGAAATCTCGCACACATAATCTATCCTGAAAAACCACCACAGGCCATAATCTAAGAGCTTCATTAATGACAGCATCCAGATATTGCATTCCGTTCAAAGCTTCATAAGTTAATTCTCCGTTCGTTTTCTTTAAAACCTCGTCTACCTCGTCGCGCAATTTTGTCTGAACGCTTGGATTAACGGCAATTTCGTGAGCAGCAAAGCACATTAAGGTAGAAACGGTATCGAAACCTCCAAAAAAGAAGATGAATGCTTGCGAAGTCATATCTTCGATCGTCAGTTCTTTTCCGGGTCCCCTTTTTCCTCTACTTTCCATCATCAATTGCAGCATATCTGGCCGTACGATATTCTGCTTGTCTCTGGTGTCTATAGTGTTCCTCATGAGATCCTTGAAAAAGTATCTTATACGATTGCTAACAAAAGTAATACCTAATATTTTGGTGATAATAGGCATACTTCTCATGAAATATATCTTTATGGTGCGCAGAGTGGTAAAAGTCGTAGCATCTTTTCCATAAACATAAAATTCGTTTGTAGGATTTCTCATAGAATCAACACTAATCCCGAAGGCACATGTTGCAATTACATCATTTGTATATCTAGTGAAGCAATCTTTCATTTCTATAACATGTTTGTCAGAAGGCAACTTGGAAAGGAACTCAGTAAAGTTGGCAGCACAATCAGACATTAGCTTAAACATAGTTTTCATTTTACTGGATGTAAAAGCGGGACTTAGCAGAGTTCTCGCATCTCGCCATTTATCACCACGAATCGAAAATAAATTCTTGCCAAGTAGAGGCTCAGCATACTCATCGATAAAAACGCGGTGATCAGGAAACGATTCGAAGTTCTTAACGCCGACAGATTTGATAAGATCTGGATCGCGAATCACCACTACTGGACTCATACTGTCGAAAAAACCGACATACTTGGCGTCTTGATTCAGATTGTAGACTTTTTGAATGATGTCGGCAATTGATAGTTGGCGAAGAAAAATTGGTCCCATGTTGCCCACGATTGGCCATGGTGATATGTGAAGAATACCATGTTTTTTGAAGAAATTTAAATCTTTAAAAAAGTAGTAATAAACGGCAATGGTGCCAGCTAATATGGATAACAGTATTAAAGTATCCATGATGGAGAATTTTAAAGAATGACAATTATCTTGATATGTCGTTGAATCACGCGCACAGATAACTATTGGAGCTATTAGCGGTTCCTCACTTTATATACTGATACAACCCAATTGATAACGTATATTAGATAACATATCGAAGCTTCGATTCTAGTGAAAATTGAATGCGAAAAAGAGAATTGATGAACGATAGAATTTAATTATTAATCACAAACACAAAGAAATAAAATTTATAACAATAGTATTATATAAATGACTATTTGGAAAATTTTTTTGTCCTGCTGCGTAATCATCATTCGGTATTGTCCAAGGTGATTGCGCAATATATTGCAAAAGTAATAGTAAACACTTCGAAAAAGCATTGCTACACAGTTTTAATTGATGTGATTTTCGAAGTGTTTATTATTCTTGCAATATATTGCACAATCGCGCCTTGAACAATATCAAATAATGATTACGCAACGGGATAAAAGAATTTTTTTAAATAGTTATTTATACGATACTATTGTTGTACTATTGTTGTAACTTTTATTTCATTGTCATGCAGAAATAAAAACATAACGAAAAATTATGAAAATTAATATTAATTATATAATTGTTTAATATATAAAGTCAGTTGCAAATTTTCCACATGTATTGCGATTTCCACTGTTCTTCTATATTTATTGATTAAATATCACATCTTTGTTAAAATATTGTAATAAAGCATCTAAATATATCTTAAATGATTTTCTTTATCAACTCGGCTGTCAAATACTTGATATTAAAATTGTAAGGATATATCATTTTATCACTTTTATTCTCTTTCTTCTTGTCTGTCTGTTTTCTCAAAATAACAGAAAAATTGAATTGCTAAATGTATTAGTAATTTTTCTGTTATTACATTATAATATATATGTTACACTAGTAAACGTATATACTTATTCTTATTAGTATTTTAATTTAGCTATTAGGATATTATCACGATGATTTCACTATATATTAATTTGTAAATTGTCTTGTGCAATCTTGTGTAACTTTGTTATTTGCTTAACTGTGTTATTTTGTCTACTGTGTAATCTTCCTATTATCATTCAATGTAAATATTTTGATAATATTTTATTTTTTAATGTGTCTTAAAAGTTTAATAAATGTATGAATATAGAAAAAAAAGATTATTATCTCATATCTTCTTACTTTTTCATTATTTATCATTCCTATTATTTATGAATAATTATTTTATGTAAATATATAGAGAGTACGAGAGAGAGAGAGGAGAAAGCTACAGAGTACTGTACAGAGTATGTACTGTTTTTTATACAACAAAATTTTCATGTATATTTCAATAAATTACTATACATGTATATATGATAACACATACATTTTACTTTGTTGGCGAATAATATTCTATATCTTGTATATACTGCTAAATTTACTGCATAATTTATTTAAGTATATAAACATTTAATATGATTTGTATATACCATTGTATTTATGAATAGTATGGGTTTTTTCATGTATTTTAATATAATTCTCTTTTAAATATAAATATAAAAATCTTTTATAATTATAAATATTACTCTTTTAAATATAAAAAATATATTTTATTGTTATATAAAACTCCTTATATATATCATATCGCAATAATAATAATATAATTTTATCTTAAATACAATTTAATATAATTTAATATAATAATTTATAATATATTAATTTAATATAATTTTATATACAATTTAATATAATTTTATCTTAAATACAATTATCTATAAATATAATTTTATCGCATTTATATGTAAAAAAATTAATACATAAAAATACATTAATTTAATTTTTAATTAATGTATATTTTTAATATGTATGTATATATTTAATTAATATAATTTCATCTTATTTATATAGAAGAAAAAATGCATACAAGAGTTTTTAAAAAATAATTTGGAAAAGAATTTTATTAAATTACTTCAAATTATATCAAATTATTATTTCTTTTCCTGAATATTACTATCCAAAAATGTAAATTATCATAAAACATTATTGATTTCCCTCAAACTCCAATAATAAAAACTAAATAAAAGATATAGTTATAGTATACTAGAAAGAGCAAGTTTTTTAAAGTTATTTTGATTATAAAGAGGAGCATTATTTAAGATAAAATTACATACATACTTTTGTTACACACATATCAATGTATCAAACTTTATTTCTCTTAGCTAATTGTAAGCAGAGGCAAATTGGATATTTATTTACAAATGCATATTTCATCAGTATTCATTCGGATTTAAATCATGACCATTAGTTCCAGTACTATTAATATTTGTGGATACGCTAACATGAACATCGCTTCTCGGTTGAATCTTTACCCAAAATCCCCCCCTCTGCTTGCAGGGCCAAGCTTCCTCTGATCAATCGTAAAGGATGAGGGGTTTTTGCATACGGTTTTAATTTGCATCGAGCTAATAAATAGAATATGACCTTGGTCTCCAATAATGCAAACCTATTACCTATGCACATTCTCGGACCGAGTCCGAATGGTATATATACACTAATGTTTAATTTCTTTTCATTCTCGTCTAAAAAACGATCGGGATGGAACTCATCCGGTTTTTCGAAGTACTTGGAATCCCGATGAAAACCGTAAATAGGAAACCAAACGACTGATCCTTTTTTCAGGACAAAGGGTTTATTTCTCCGGAAAGTGCTGGCGGTAATTCAAAATATTGCACGCATAATCTGTTCTGAAAAATCTTCGAGGGCCACAATCTAATTGTAAGAGTCTCATTAATAACAAGATATTGCATTCCATTCAAAGCTTCATAGATCAATTCTCCATATGTACTCTTCAAAACCTCGTCTATTTCGTTGCGTAATTTTGTCTGAAAGCTTGGATTAATAGTAATTTCGTGAATAGCAAAACACATCAACGTGGAAACAGTATCAAAACCGCCAAGAAAAAAGAGAAATGCTTGCAAAGTTATATCCTCTATAGTCAATTCTCTTCTGGCTCCTTTGTTTTCTCTGTTATCCATCATCAGTTGCAGCAAATCCGGCCGTACAATATTCTGCTTGTCTCTTGTATCTATCGTATTCTTCACAAGATCTTTAAAAAATTGACTTACACGACTAAGAATTGTAATACCCAACATTTTAGTGATAGTGGGCATACTTCTGATGAAATATATTTTTATCATGCGCAGAGTGGTAAAAGTCGTAATATGTTTTCCATAAACGTAGAATTCGTTGGTAGGATTTTTCATAGAATCAACGCTAATCCCAAAAGCACATGTTGCAATAACATCATTCGTGTATTTAGTGAAGCAATCTTTCATTTCCATAATATTTTTGTCGGAAGGTAATTTGGAAAGAAACTCCGTAAAGTTGGCAGCACAATCGGCCATTAGCTTAAACATAGTTTTCATTTTACTATATAAAAACGGGACTTAATAGAGCTCTTATATCTCGCCACTTATCGCCACGAAGCGCAAATAAATTTTTGCCAAGTAGAGGCTCAGTATCCTTGTTGATAAAAACGCGATGATCAGGAAACGACTCGAAGTTTTTAACATCGATGGATTTAATAAGATCTCGTATCATCACTACTGGAAGCATACCGTCGAAAAACCGACATACTTGTCATCTTGATTCAGTAAACTTTTTGAATAATTTCGGCAATTGATAATTGGCGAAGAAAAATTGGTCCCTTGTGTACCCATAATTGACCACATAATTGATATGTGAGGAATATCATGTATTTTGAAGAAATTTACATCTTTAAGAAAATAGTGAACAGCAATGATACCAGCTAATATGAATAACAGTATTAAATTATCCATGATGGAGAATTTTAAAGAATGACGATTGTCTGGATATGTCGTTGAATCATGTGCACAGATAACTAGCTATTAGCGATTTATCTCTTTATATACTGGACAAAACTCTGTGATAACGTACATAAGATAATATAATATCAAAGTGTTGATACTAATAAAAAGCGAATGGGGAAAAAAGATGAATCATGAACAATAAAATTTATCGTTATAATTTAATTATTAATCACATGCACAGTGCGTGTTTATTACGTAATGATAATAGTGATAATAGAATATAAAATAGAAACAGTGACAATATAAAATTTAGAAAACACAAAGTATTTGTAAACTTGAAAAACTTTAGTTAACGTAGTTTTTCGAAGCTTATTACTGTAAATTGAGCAATCGCCTTGGATAATAATGAATGATGACTAATTGTTAGTCTACGTAATAGCATAGAAGAATTTTTCGAAAAATTATAATATTTATACGATACTAGTATTGTAACTTTTATTTTTTCGTTTTACACGAATAAAAATATGAAAAAGTAAGAAAAATTAATATAATTGTTAATATAAAATCACTTGTAAATTTTCCGAAAGTATTAAAATTTCACGTGTACTACTAAATTTATTGATTAAATTTCACTTTTATATTAAAATGTTGTAATAAAGCGTCTAGATACATTTTAAATGACTTTTATTTTCGACTCGAATTAATGTTCGAGTTAATGCTCGAGTTAAAATTAAATATTATAAGAAATTTCTAGAAAAAGTATTGCTTTTATTCTCTTTCTCCTTCTCTGTCTTCTCAAAATAATAGGCAAATTGAATTGTTAAATGTATCAGTAATTTTTCTATCATTACAACATTATATGTTATAACATATATATGTTACTAATAAACATATAACGTACATTAAACATATATTTACTGTTATTAATATTTTATTTTAATTATTAGTATATTATCACGATGATTTCGCTATTTTAAATGCTTTGTGTTAATTTTACCTATTGCGTAATCTTTTTATTATCATTTAATATGTAGTTTGATAATATTTTATTTTTTAATATTTTAAAGTTTCGGTAAATGTATGAATAGAAATGATTATATATATATATATATATATATATATATATATATATATATTTCTCATATTTTATTACTTATATCATATTACTTTTCCTCATTTTTATTATTTATGAATAATTATGTTATACAAACGTAGAGAGAGCGAGAATATAAATTACTATATATGTATATATACTTTTCTATTGGTGAATAATATTCTATATTTTATATTACCAAATTTATATACATAATTTCGATTTTTATATATATAAACATATTTAGTATGACTTGTATATATTCATCATTGCATTTTTGGATAATATATTTTTCTATGTATTTTGATATTATTCTCTTTTCGTTGAGAAATATAACAAAATTTTTTTGTTCTTAAGTGAAACTCTTATTGCAATGACATTAATTTAATATAATTTTATCATATTTACGTATACATAAGAATTAATATCTTTTTAAGCAATAATTAAAAAAAAATTTTATTAAATAATTATTTCTTTCGCCGAATATTATTATTCAAAAATATAATTATAAATCAAAGAACAGTATTTCCTTCACCAATAATAAAAATTGAAAAAAAGAAAAACTCGTAAGTAAGTATTTTACTTTGGTGATCACAAAAAGGAGCATTATTTATAAAATACTTTTATTTTGCACATATATTTTTTACGCATAATATCAATGTCTTAAACATTATTTTTCTTCGCTTGTGAGTAGAATTGTGAATAAATTCAAATCGGTTTTTTATTTACAAATACATATTTCATCGGCATTTCTATGGATTATGGTCATTATGCATCATTAACACTTGTGGATACGTTAGTATAAGTATCGCTCCTCGCTTAAATCTTTAATCAAAATCTACCGTCTGCTAACATGACAAAACTTTCTCTGCTCAATCGTAAAAGATGAGGATTCTTCGTGCATGTTTTGAATTCGCAACGAGTTTATAAATAGAATATCATGACTAATCTTCAATAATGCGAACCTGTTACTTAAGAACATCCTCGAGCCGATTCTGAACGGTAAAAACGCGCCAGTATTTAATTTTTTCTTATTTTCGTCCAGAAAATTTTCGGGATAGAACTGATCTGACATATTTGACATCTGGGTTCAAATTATAGATTTTCTAAATGATTTCGGCCATCGATAACTGGTGGAAAAGGTGGAAAAATTGGTCCCATGTTGCCCACGGTTGCCATGGTATTATAAGATGAATCCCATGCTTTTTGAAGAAATTTAAATCCTTAAAAAAGTAGTAATAAACAGCGATGTCGATTAAAATCGACAATAGTATCCAAATAACGATATTACGTAAAGAAATGTCCATAATGACGAAATGTTGTAAAGATTACATCTATTAATAGAGACGATGTCCTTGAATCGCGCGTGCACAGACTACTGCTGGAGCTATTAATGAAATATTTCCTCTCTTTATATATGCAAACTGGTGGTCTTAAAGAATGTATATTATTAAATAACATATCAAAGCTTTGATTCGAATAAGAAGTAAATAAGAGCAAGAAAACTGTGAGATAGACTTCAGCTATATAAAATTTAATTACAAATCACATACTCATCGCAGTGCATTTTTCTTGTATAATAATAATAGTGATATAACAATGAAGAAAAACAGTGTATGCGTTTGTAAACTCGAAAAATTTCTATGGATGCAGTTTGACAAAGTGTTTATCATTCGTGCAATTTATTAAGCAATAACCTTGCATAATATCAAATTACGACTTCAGATGTACCTATTCTAATAAAAAATTTTTCAAAAAAATTATTTATATAATATTAAAAATAGAATTTTTATTTTATTATATAAAAATATAACACACATGAATAATGATAAAAAATTAAACAAATAATTATAAAAAATTGTTTAATATATAAAATCATTTATATAAATTTTTTTCCAATTATCGAAATTTCACATATTTTTCAATTTATTAAATGTCCACATCTTTGTTAAAATATTAATATAAAAGATCTAGGAAAAAGATTCTATAAATGACTTTCTTTATATATTTGACTCTCTATCGAGTTGATGCTAATATTATAAGAATATCTTTTATTATCATTTTTTATATTTTCTCTCTCTTCCGCACTCTCTTATTCTCTGTCTACTCCAAATAGAAAAAAAATTAAATTGCTAAATATTGTCAATAATATATATATATTTCTGTCGTTATATTATATATTACTAATAACGAATGTACTTACTATTAGCTTTTTATTTTTGCTATTCCGATAACATCGCATATTATTTTGTAATACTATTTTGTAAATGTTTGACCATTCTGTCTACTGAAAACTTTCTGTTATGACTATTTAATATAATCATTTTAACCTTGATTCAATCATACTGTAGAGCTGAATATATACACACATACATTACTTTGACATCTTTCAATTAACTCAATTTAATGCTGCACATCTCGTAAGTTGTGTGAGAAGAATAATAATTTTTATGTAACTCTTATTTTTATTTCAGAATATATAAGAATATACACTTATATTATATTTTTATACTTTTTGGCAATATTTTATTTTTTAATAGCTTAAAGTTTCGAAATGTATAAATATAGATTATTTTTTATATCATATTACTTTTACTATTATTTGAATAATTATGTGAACAAAGAGAGAGAGAGAGAAAGAGAGAGAGAGAGAGAGAGAGAGAGAGAGAGAGAAAGAGAGAGAAAGAGAGAGAGAGAAAGAGAAGTGTCAGTCTATACATACATGTGATATAATAAAATTCATATATATATATATATATATATATATATATATATATATATCATTAAATTATATATATAATTAAAAAATATGTATTTTAATTGAAGTATACAAACATTTTTAATATGATTACATATGCATCATTGCATTTTCGGATGTTGTTTCGTGTATTTTAATATAATTCTCTTTTTGTTTAAATAATAATACTTTATTCTATATAAAACTTTTATTGCAATAATATAATTTTATTATATTTATAAATAAAACTTATATGTTTTTAAGAAATAATTTGGAAAACAATATATAATTTTATCAAATTATTTCAAATAATATCAAATTATAATTTCTCACACGAAATATCATTATACAAAAATGCAGATAATCAAAGATCAAAAGACAGTATTGATTAATCTCACAACCTTCAAAGATCCTTCAAATAAAAGATAAAATTAAAAACAAGCATTGTCATTATACAGCTAACTTGATTACAAAAAGAGGCATTATTTAAAATAAAGTTATTTTACACGTACACTTTCATTACATATATTAATATTTTAAATAGTTTCTCTTAAGTAATTATAAATTGAATCGAATCGGACATTTATTCATAGATGCATTTTATTCATACGGATTTAAATGTGACCATTAACCGCAGTATCATTAACGCTTGTCGATACGTTAGTATCAATATCGCTCCTCGCTTGAATCTTTAACCAGAAACCTCCATCTGCCAGCATGGCGAAGCTTCCTTTTTTCAATCGTAAAGGATGAGAAGTCTTCTCGCACGGTTTTAATTCGCAACGAGCCAATAAATAGAATATCATGACCTTGATTTCCAATAAAGCAAATCTGTTACCTATGCACATTCTTGGACCGATTCCGAAAGGTAAAAATGCGTTAACATTTAATTTTTTTTTATTCTCGTTTAGAAAACGTTCGGGATAGAACTCATCCGGGTTTTCGAAGTAGTTGGAATCCCGATGAATATTATAAACAGGAAACCAAACATTAAAGCCTTTTTTCACGACAAAGGGCTTATCTCCGGGAAGTGCTGGTGGTAATTCAAAATCTTGCACACATAATCTATCTTGAAACGGCACAGGCCACATCCTAAGAGTTTCATTAATGACAGCGTCCAAGTATTGCATTCCATTCAAAGCTTCGTAAGTTAATTCTCCGTTCGTTTTTTTTAGAACCTCGTCTATCTCATCGCGCAATTTCGTCTGAACACTTGGATGAACTGCAATTTCGTGAAGAGCGAAGGACATCATGGTGGCAACAGCATCGAAACCTCCAAGAAAGAAAAGAAATGCTTGCGCAGTCATATCTTCAATAGTCAGTTCTTTTCCAGGTCCCCTTTTTCCTCTGCTTTCCATCATCAGTTGCAACATATCTGGCCGTACGATATTCTGCCTGTCTCTGGTGTCTATCGTGTTTCTCACGAGATTTTCGAAAAAATATTTTATATGATTATCAATGAATGTAATACCCAACATTTTAGTGATAGTGGGCATACTTCTGATTAAATATATTTTTATCATGCGTGAACTGGTGAAATTTGTAGCATTTTTTCCATAAACGTAGAATTCGTTGGTAGGATTTCTCATAGAATCAACGCTAATCCCGAAAGCGCAGGTTGCGATTACGTCATTCGTGTACCTGGTGAAGCAGTCTTTCATTTCCATAACACTTTTGTCAGAAGGCAACTTGGAAAGAAATTCGGTAAAGTTGACAGCACAATCGGCCATTAGTTTAAACATAGCTTTCATTTTACTAGACGTAAAAGCGGGACTTAATAAATTTCTCACATCTCGCCATTTTTCACCACGAAGCGAAAATAAATTCTTGCCAAATAGAGGATCGTTAATTTCGTCGACAAAACCGCGATGATCTACAAACGAGTCAAAGTTCTTAACAGCAATAGACTTGATGAGATCTAGATCACGAATCATCACTACTGGATTCATGCTGTCGAAGAAACCGACATATTTGGCGTCTGGATTTAAATTATACACTCTTTGAATGTTGTCGGGCAATGATAACTGTCGGAGAAAAATTGGTCCCATATTGCCCACGATAGGCCACGGTGGTATATAAAGAATCCCATGTTTCTTGAAGAAATTTAAATCTTTAAAAAAGTAATAGTAAATAGCAATAGTACTGGCCAAAATTGACAATAGTATCCAAGAATCCATGACGGCGAGACGTTTTAAAGAGTCATGCCGGCTCTCTTAATACAATATTGTTGAATCGCGCGTGCACAGATAACTGCTGGTGCTACTGGCGATTTCTCTCTTATATACCCGACGCTAATCGTTTTTATCATTTTAGATAATGTGTCATTGAAGCTTCAATACTAATAGAAAGCAAATGTGGAAAATGGAAATATAATAAACGATTAATAACTTAATTAATCACACACTGCAAAAATATGTTTTTGTCGTATAACAACAGCAATAGATTAATAAAGATATGAAAACACAGTACGTGTTTATCAATTCGAGAAATTTCAATGACGTAATGTCAGTTACTGTGCATGACGAAGTGATAGTTGTATGATTTACCTGACTAATAACCTTGGATAATCAAATGATATGTTCAAGTCAATACAGTCTGATCAAAAAATTTGTAGCAATATTATTTACACAATACTATCGTTCGAATTTTTATTTTGTTATTATTGTATATGTATAAATAAAAATACAATAATGAAAAATTATAAAAAATTGTTTCATATATAATGTTATCTAAATTTTTCAGAATTATCAAAATTTCAAGTGTTCTATACTGATTGATTAAATGTCTATTTTCTTTGTTACTGTGTTGATATAAAGCATCTAGATCAAAGATTTTAAATGACATATTTTATCGACTTGACTATTATATTGATGCTAATGTGTTATATAATCATATTATCATATTTTATATTCTCTCTCTCTCTCTCCCCCTCCCTCCCTCCCTCCCTTCCCCCTCTCTGTCTCCTCAAAATAATAAGAAAATTGAATTGTTAAATTTTATCAATAATATTTTTATTTTATTCCAATAATATACATATATATATATATATATATATATATATATATATATATAAAATTATATTAATCAATATAATTATATATTTAATTATATATTTATAAATTATATTAATCAATATAATTATATATTTAATAATATTATTTAATATTTATATAATCAATAGAATTATATATATAATTATATATTTATAAATTATATTAATCAATATAATTATATATTTATATTAATAGAATTATATTATTATATATAATTATTATAAATTATTATATTAATTATATTAATATAATAATTAATAATTTATAATAATTTATAATAATTATATATAATAATATAATTATATTAATATAATTATATTAATTTCTGCGGTTTACATCTTTAGCATTAACATTTCCATTCATTTCTCTGGATTTATAGTCTACAAATACTTTTAAGCGAGAATTAATTTATACATGCAACAGTCTAAGCAAAGTTAACGATTTTATTAAAAGAGAACGAGAATGTTCAGTAAAAGAACACGTGCAAGGTAAACATTCTAATTTTCGCGGTGCGTTGATTTCTATAATTAATTCTTTTATATTGCATTTTTCGTGACATCAATTTATATTAACATATTTTATATTTGCGATGTACGTCCTTGACGATTCTTTTCAATATTCATATGATACAGTACTTTGACTTATTTTAACCTGTTTCTTAATTTTTACTAATATTTATGTTATATTTACAACATTGAAAAAGATCTGAAGGAGATCGAAACGTCTGTCGACAAATCTTATATTATACATTTTATGCATCTTTATACTCTGCAAATATTTATTATTCATATTATTATGTTTTTTAAATAAATTATATAAGTTACTAGTATTGCGCACTTTTATCTGCGTCTTTGATTCTTAGCCTTACTTCTTCACCTTTTTTTATTTACATCACACAAATCTCTCATTATATGACTTACATTATTTGATATATAATATTGTAATGATAGAAATATTATATCCGATATCTTATATATACATATGCATATATATATATATATATATATATATATATATATATATATATATATATTACTAATAAACATATGTACTTAAAATGTTTTATGTTTTGTATTTTATTAATATTTTATTTTTGCTATTAGGCTAATGCCACGATGATTTCGTAATATATTATTTTGTAAATGCTTTGTATGCTTTGAATGTTTTTCTTATGTAACCTTTCTGTGATCATTCAATGTAACTATTTTAACCTTGGTTTCTCTATCATATATGAATACAAATCATCTCTGACATCATTCAATTGACTCAATGGTTTAATAGTGTACTCTTTGCGAGTGTTTTGAAAACAATAACAACTTATGCAATATTTGTTTTAATTTCAGAATACCGCTTATTATTTATACAGTTTATATCTGTTATTTATATTTTTATATTTCCTAATTTTATTTTATATTTTATTACCTTAAAATATATAAATGATATGAATGCAGAAATGATTATTTCTGAATATCTTATTACTTTTTTTTATTCCTATTGGAATAATTATCTTATCTGAGCATAAACAGAGACAGAGACAGAGAGAGAAAGAGAGAAAGAGAGAGAGAAGAGGAAAAAGTTAGATTATGAACTTATGTTATATAATAAAATTATATAAATTCTAAATATATTATATATATTCTAATAAATTACTATACATGTATATATAATAGTATACCTTTCTTTATTAATGAATAATATTCTATATTTTATATTACTAAATTTACATATATAATTTCAATTTTTAATATATAAACATATATAATTTCTATATATGCACTATATATATGCAATATTATTCTCTTTGTGTCTAAATATAATCAAAATACTTTTTTCTTATATAAAACTTTTATTGCAATAACAATTTAATATAATTTTATCCTATTTATATATATAAAAATTAATACTTTAAGAAATAGTTTGAAAAAGAATTTTAACAAATTATGTCAAATTATTATTTCTTTCGCTGAATATTATTCAAAAATATAATTAGAGATTATAAATGATTGATTTCTCTCTTATTAGAAAAATTAAACAAAAGATAAGATTATAAGAAGGCATTATTATTTTATAGCTATCTTGATGATTACAGAGAGAGAGAGAGAAGCATTATATTTAAGATTAAAATTATTTTACACATGCACATTTCCATTACATATTTCATTACATACATATTACAATGTTTCAAATCGTTTTTCGAAAGTAATTGTAAATAGAATCGAATAGTCATAGAATCGATTTATTCAAAAGCATTTTACCAGCAATTATATAGATTTAAATATGGCCATTAATCACAGTACCATTAACGCTTGTGGATACGCTAGTATGAACATCGTTTCTCGCTTGAATCTTTAGCCAGAATCCCCCCTCTGCTAGCATGGCAAAATTTTTTTTGCTCAATCGTAAAGGATGGCAAGTCTTCGCGCACGGTTTTAATTCGCAACGAGCTAATAAGTGGAATATCACGACCTTAGCTTCTAATAATGCAAATCTGTTACCTATGCACATTCTAGGTCCAATTCCGAACGGTAAATATGCATTCATATTTAAATTTTTCTTATTCTCGTCCAGAAAACGTTCGGGATAGAACACGTCCGGTTTCTCGAAATACTTGGAATCCCGATGAAGACCATAAACAGGAAACCAAACGACTGATCCTTTCTTCACGATGAAAGGCTTATCTCCGGGAAGTGCTGGTGGTAATTCAAAATCCTGCACACATAATCTGTCTTGCAAAACTGCCACAGGCCAAAACCTAAGAGCTTCATTAACGACAGCGTCTAAATATTCCATTCCATTCAAAGCTTCATAGGTCAATTCTCCATTTGTTTTCTTCAAAACGTCATCTACCTCGTTGCGTAATTTTGTCTGAATGCTTGGATTAACGGCAATTTCGTGAACAGCGAAGCACATCAACGTGGAAACGTATCAAAGCCGCCGAAAAAGAAAATAAATGCCTGCGCAGTCATATCCTCGATAGTTAATTCTTTGCCAGGCCCTCTTTTTCCTCTACTATCCATCATCAGTTGCAGCATATCTGGCCTTACGATATTCTGCTTGTCTCTGGTGTCTATCGTGTTGCTCACGAGATTTTTGAAAAATTGACTTATTCGATTATCAATGAGTTTAATACCCAACATTTTGCAGACACGAGGCATACTTCTGATGAAAAAAAATTTTATAATGCGTAAAATGTCAAAAGTTGTAGCAACTTTTCCATAAACATAGAATTCGTTGGTAGGATTTCTCATAGAGTCAACGCTAATCCCGAAGGCGCAGGTTGCGATTACGTCATTCGTGTACCTGGTGAAGCAGTCTTTCATTTCCATAACACTTTTGTCAGAAGGTAACGTGGAAAGAAACTCGGTGAAATTGGCAGCACAATCAGCCATTAGCTTAAACATAACTTTCATTTTACTAGATGTAAAAGCGGGACTTAATAAATTTCTCACATCTCGCCATTTTTCACCCCGAAGCGAAAATAAATTTTTGCCAAATAGAGGATCGCTAACTTCGTCGATAAAACCGCGATGATCGGTAAATGAATCGAAGTTCTTGATGGCGATAGACTTGATGAGATCTGGATCACGAATCATCACTACTGGATTCATGTTGTCGAAGAAACCGACATATTTCGCATCTGGATTCACCTTGTAGATTTTTTGAATAAGTTCGGCTATCGATAATTGACGAAGAAACACTGGTGCCATGTTACCCATGACAGGCCACGGTGGAATATGTAGAATACCATGTTTTTTGAAGAAATTTAAATTTTTAAAGAAGTAATAATAAATAGCGATGGTACTAGTTAAAATTGACAACAGTATCCAAGTATCCATAATGGCGAAACGTTTAATAAATCACGCCGATTGTCTTGATGTTGTTGAATCGCGCGTGCACAGATAACTGCTTGAGGTATTGGCAATTCCTGTCATTATATACTGGACGAATAGATTGCGCGTTGCAGAAATAAGATAATAATCAGATAAGATATTATTTCATCATTTTCTAATGGAAAACAAATGTGGAAAATAATAGATATAATAGATATAAGATATATAATAATAGATATAAGAACATTTTCAGATAATATATTTCTTTCGTATACTTCGAAATATAATTTTCTTTTGTCTAAATATAAAAGAATACAGTTTGTCTTTATGTATAAAATTCCTATTGCATTAATATATTTAATTTTATTCCATTTTCATAAGAATTAATATGTTTATAAGAAATAATTTGAAAAAGAATTTTAACAAATATATTATACCTAATTATACCAAATTATTATTCCTTTCGCTGAACATTATTATTCAAAAATATATATGTCACAAGATATAATCAGAAAATAATATTGATTTTCTTAAATTCTTATGAGCAGAACTAAATAAAAGATTAAATTATAAGTAAGCATTATTTTTACAGTTATCTAAAGAATACAAAAGAATAATAAAATTATTTTACACGCGCACATTTTCATTACATATATCAATATTACAAATCGTTTCTCTTAAGTCATAATAAAGTCATATAAATGTAATAGAACCAGACATTTATTCATATACATTGTTAGCAATTATGTGAATTTAAATATGGCCATTAGTCGCAGTACCATTAACGCTTGTTAATACGCTAGTATGAACATCGTTTCTCGCTTGAACTTTCAGCCAAAACCCTCCTTCTGCTAGCATGGCAAAATTTTTTTTGCTCAATCGTAAAGGATGGCAAGTCTTCGCGCATGGTTTTAATTCGCAACGAGCTAATAAGTAGAATATCACAACCTTAGCTTCTAATAATGCAAATCTGTTACCTATGCACATTCTCGGTCCAATTCCGAACGGTAAATATGCATTAACATTTAAATTTTTCTTATTCTCGTCCAGAAAACGTTCGGGATAGAACTCGTCCGGTTTCTCGAAATACTTGGAATCTCGATGAAGACCATAAACAGGAAACCAAACGACTGATCCTTTTTTCACGATGAAAGGCTTATCTCCGGGAAGTGCTGGTGGTAATTCGAAATCCTGCACACATAATCTGTCTTGGAAAACTGCCACAGGCCAAAACCTAAGAGCTTCATTAACGACAGCATCTAAATATTCCATTCCATTCAAAGCTTCATAGGTCAATTCCCCATTTGTTTTCTTCAAAACGTCGTCTACCTCGTTGCGTAATTTTGTCTGAATGCTTGGATTAACGGCAATTTCGTGAACAGCGAAGCACATCAATGTGGAAACGGTATCAAAGCCGCCGAAAAAGAAAATAAATGCCTGCGCAGTCATATCCTCGATAGTTAATTCTTTGCCGGACCCTCTTTTTCCTCTACTTTCCATCATCAGTTGCAGCATATCTGGCCGTACAATATTCTGTTTGTCTCTGATGTCTATCGTGTTTCTCACGAGATTTTTGAAAAATTGACTTATTCGATTATCAAGGAGTTTAATACCCAACATTTTGCTGATACGAGGCATACTTCTAATGAGATAAAATTTTATAGTGCGTAAAGTGTCAAAAGTTGTAGCAACTTTACCATAAACATAGAATTCGTTGGTAGGATTTCTCATAGAGTCAACGCTAATTCCGAAGGCGCAGGTTGCGATTACGTCATTCGTGTACCTGGTGAAGCAGTCTTTCATTTCCATAACACTTTTGTCAGAAGGTAACGTGGAAAGAAACTCGGTAAAATTGGCAGCACAATTAGCCATTAGCTTAAACATAGCTTTCATTTTACTAGATGTAAAAGCGGGACTTAATAAATTTCTCACATCTCGCCATTTTTCACCACGAAGCGAAAATAAATTTTTGCCAAATAGAGGATCGCTAACTTCATCGATAAAACTGCGATGATCGGTAAATGAATCGAAGTTCTTGATGGCGATAGACTTGATGAGATCTGGATCACGAATCATCACTACTGGATTCATGCTGTCGAAAAAACCGACATATTTCGCATCTGGATTCACCTTGTAGATTTTTTGAATAAGTTCAGCTATCGATAATTGACGAAGAAACACTGGTGCCATGTTACCCATGACAGGCCACGGTGGAATATGTAGAATCCCATGTTTTTTGAAGAAATTTAAATTTTTAAAGAAGTAATAATAAATAGCGATGGTACTAGTTAAAATTGACAACAGTATCCAAGTATCCATAATGGCGAAACGTTTAATAAATCACGCCGATTGTCTTGATACGATGTCGTTGAATCGCGCGTGCACAGATAACTGCTTGAGCTATTGGCAATTCCTGTCTTTATATACTGGACGGATAGATTGCGCGTTCAAATAAGATATTATTTCATCATTTTCTAGTGGAAAACAAATGTGGAAAATAATAGATGACATAATTTAATTATTAATCACACATCACATAGGAATATGTTTTTCTTGTATAATAATAATAGTAATATAGAATAATATAAAAATGAAAATAATATGTGTTTATCAATTCGAAGAATTTCGATTGACGTATTTTTATGAAGTAATGATTATTCCTATAATCTGTTGAGCAAGTCTCAGATAATATCGAATAATAATTTTTTAAATAATCAATATACACGTATGTAGACTATTTAATAAAATTATTCTTTGACATTCATATTATGAAATCTTATTATTTAATAAATTACACGAGTGATGAGTGAGCATTTCATAAAATTACGTTAATCTAAATTCTTGAAGTTGATATATATAAATGCATTTATATATATATATATATATATATATATATATATATAAATGATATATAAATTGATATATATATATATATATATATATATATATATATATATGTATAAATGCTATTTTCTGATATATATATGTATGTGCAATTTGTATTTTTAGAAAAATTATTTATTGTTAAAAATTTTTACCTTGTACATATCTAAAAATACAATAGCGAGAAATTATGAAAAAAATATTCAACTTATAATAGTTATGTGCGCAAATTCTTCAGAGTTATCAAAATTTTTCATGTATTCTTATCATAGATTCTTATTATGTAATCTTATCGTACATTTATCTTTCATTTATTCTTAAACATATCAGATTATATGTCTATTTCTTCATCAAAGAGCATTGAATTGAAACATCCAGCGCAGTTACATTTTAAATGACTTTTCTTATCAATTTAGCTCTTGAAAGTTTATATTTAAAAGAACTTCGTCTTTTCGATTTTTATATTCTCTCTCTCTCTCTCTCTCTCTCTCTCTCTCTCTCTCTCTCTCTCTCTCTCTCTCTCTCTCTCTCTCTCTCCGCCCCCCTCTCCCCCCTCTCTCTTTGTCGGTCTCCTCAAAATGGAAACAAAATTGAATTGCTAAGTGTTATCTTTTAATCATACTTCTGTCATTATAATATTATACATGTTATTAATAATCATATATTATTAATAATTATATACTCATACTGTTATTATTAGTACTGTATTTTATTTTTGCTATTAGCATAATAACGCGATGATTGCACAAGATACTATTTTGTAAATGCCTTAAATTCGTTTTGTTTATTGTAATTTTCTGTTACCTTTCGATATAATTATTTTATCCTTGGATAACATAATACTGTAGAGTTGAATACGTCGCTCTAATGTGACTCATTTAATTGGATAATTAATAATGCACTTTTCGCAAATTGAGAACAATAGTTACTTTTACACGTCAGTTATTTCAATTTCAGAATATGTATATCTGTTGTTTATATTTATAGTAGTATATTTCTAATATCTTAAGTTTAGAATTTGTATATGTAAATTTACATCTTATTTTTTACATTTTAATATCTCAAAATTTCGTTGAATGTATAAATATAAAAAAAATAAATTCCCCTATTAATTCTCTTATTACTTTTCTAGTTTTATTATTTAAATAATTATCACATGTGAACAGAAAGAAAAAGAGGAAAAGGAGATAGAGAGGAGAAAGTAACAGACTATGTATTATATATTGTATATCTCACTTCATGTTTCTTATAATAAATTATACATGTACATGCAATATACTAATTTTTAATTGAAAAATATTATCCCATATTTTGTATTGCTAAATTTATATATACAATTTAAACTTTAGTGTATCAGCAATTTTATACGACTTCTATATGTGCATTATATAACATTTTCAGATAATATGTTTTTTCCGTATACTTCAAAATATAATTTTCTTTTTGTCTAAATATAAAAGAATACACTTTGTCTTTATGTATAAAATTCCTATTGCATTAACATATTTAATTTTATTCCATTTTCATAAGAATTAATATGTTTATAAGAAATAATTTTAAAAAGAGAAAATTTTAACAAATATATTATACCTAATAATAAAATTATTATTTCTTTCGCTAAACATTATTTTCCAAAAATATATATCACAAGATATCATCAGAAAATAATATTGAATTTCCTTAAATTCTTATGAGCAAAACTAAATAAAAGATTAAATTATAAGTAATTATTACATTATTATTACAGTTATCTAAAGAATACAAAAGAACAAGAAAATTATTTTACACGCGCACATTTTCATTACATATTTCAAATCGTTTCTCTTAAGTCATAATAAAGTCATATAAATATAATCGAACCAGACATTTATTCATACATTGTTAGCAATTATGTGAATTTAAATATGGCCATTAGTCGCAGTACCATTAACGCTTGTTAATACGCTAGTATGAACATCGTTTCTCGCTTGAACCTGCAGCCAAAACCCTCCCTCTGCTAGCAAGGCGAAATTTTTTTTGCTCAATCGTAAAGGATGGCAAGTCTTCGCACATGGTTTTAATTCGCAACGAGCTAATAAGTAGAATATCACGACCTTAGCTTCTAATAATGCAAATCTGTTACCTATGCACATTCTCGGTCCGAATCCGAACGGTAAATATGCATTAACATTTAAATTTTTCTTATTCTCGTCCAGAAAACGTTCGGGATAGAACTCGTCCGGTTTCTCGAAATACTTAGAATCCCGATGAAGACCATAAACAGGAAACCAAACGAGTGATCCTTTTTTCACAATAAAAGGCTTATCTCCGGGAAGTGCTGGTGGTAATTCGAAATCTTGCACACACAATCTGTCTTGAAAAAATGCCACAGGCCAGAACCTAAGAGCCTCGTTAATGACAGCGTCCAAATATTCCATTCCATTCAAAGCTTCATAGGTCAATTCCCCGTTCGTTTTCTTCAAAACGTCGTCTACCTCGTTGCGTAATTTTGTCTGAATAGTTGGATTAACGGCAATTTCATGCACAGCGAAGCACATCAATGTGGAAACAGTATCAAAGCCGCCGAAAAAGAAAATAAATGCCTGCGCTGTCATATCCTCGATAGTTAATTCTTTGCCGGGCCCTCTTTTTCCTCTGCTTTCCATCATCAATTGCAGCATATCTGGCCGTACGATATTCTGCTTGTCTCTCGCGTCTATCGTATTTCTCACGAGATCCTTGAAAAACTGTCCGATTCGATTATCAATGAGTTTAATTCCCAACATTTTGCTGATACGGGGCATACTTCTGATGAGATAAAATTTTATAGTGCGTAAAGTGTCAAAAGTTGTAGCAACTTTTCCATAAACATAGAATTCGTTGGTAGGATTTCTCATAGAGTCAACGCTAATTCCAAAGGCGCAGGTTGCGATTACGTCATTCGTGTACCTGGTGAAGCAGTCTTTCATTTCCATAACACTTTTATCAGAAGGTAACTTGGAAAGGAACTCGGTAAAATTGGCAGCACAATCGGACATTAGCTTGAACATAGCTTTCATTTTGCTAGATGTAAAAGCGGGACTTAATAAATTTCTCACATCTCGCCATTTTTCACCACGAAGCGAAACCAAATTTTTGCCAAATAGAGGATCGCTAACTTCATCGATAAAACCGCGATGATCAGTAAACGAATCGAAGTTTTTGATAGCGATAGACTTGATGAGCTCTGGATCACGAATTACCACTACTGGACTCATGCTGTCGAAGAATCCGACATATTTGGCATCTGGATTTAGCTTGTAAATTTTCAGAATAAGTTCGGCTACCGATAATTGACGAAGGAACACTGGTGCCATGTTACCCAAGACAGGCCATGGTGGTATATGCAGAATCCCATGTTTTTTGAAGAAGTTTAAATTTTTAAAGAAATAATAATAAACAGCGATGGTACTTGTCAAAATTGACAACAATATCCAAGTATCCATGATGGCGAAGCGTTTAATATATCACGCCGATTGCCGATGTCGTTGAGTCGCGCGTGCTCAGATAACTGCTTGAGCTGCTAGCAATTCCTCTCTTTATATACTGGACGCGAATAGATTGCGTTACAGTCATATTAAATAAAATATCATGATTGCTTCAATTCTAATGGAAAACGAATGTGCAAAATAGATATAATAAATGACATAATTTGCAATTAACAATTCCATATTTTTTTCTTAAAAACAACTGTATGTTTTCTTTACACCAATTGATTTCTCTCATTATTATTATATAAATATTAATAATAATCAAAATGAATATTTTCAAGATATTTATGGTTTATGTAAAATTAAGAATGATTTCAACTCATACCGAAAAATTGATGAAAAAATGTTTATTATATGTTTTGGAAAGCTTCGAGAAAGCTACAGAATATCAAAATATTAGGTGTTCCATTTAAGAAATTGAAAATGATCTTCACGTAACCTTCATGTGACTCTTCAAGATCAAATTAATGGTACCATCTTATGTCCCCTCGAAACCATACAACTTTTGTCTGAAACATCTTTTTCTAAAATTAAAAATAAGAAAGTTATTTGGGTGGGCATTAAAATGGACACCCTGTATTTAAAAAGGTATACTTCGTCTTTTCGGTATTTATATTTTCTCTCTCTCTCTCTCTTTCTCTCTTTGTCTGTTTCCTCAAAATGGAAACAAAATTGAATTGCTAAGTGTTATCTCTTAATAATATTTTTGTCATTACAATATTATATGTTATTAATAAGCACATGTACTTATACTGTTACTATTAGTACTTCATTTTATTTTTGCTATTAGTAATAACGCGATGATTTCGCAATATACTTTTTTTTTAAATACCTTAAATGCATTTTGTTTATTGTGTAATTTTTTTTAACCTTTCGATATAATTATTTTATCTTTGGCTTACATCATACTGTAGAGTTGATTACATCACTCTAACGTCATTCATTTAATTCGATAATTTAATAATGCACTTCTCGCAAATTGAAAACAATAGTTACTTTTATACATCAGTTTAT